TAGGACTCCACAGCCTCCAAGCATCGCAAAACGGCTACCACACCATCACTTGGGTCACCAAAAAGGGGAATATACAATTGGAAATATCTGTTGTATTTGTTTGTTTATGTGATTGTTTATGAATACATTATTTAAATTGCACCTTTATTATTTTTACATACAACTCAAGGTGGTGAACATATCCAACACACATTCCTACTGCTAATTTTCCCACGATAGCCCTGGGAGGTGTGTTGGGATGAGAGAGAATGACTGGCCCAAACGTTTGTTAACAGCTTCTAATTTAACCTTCATTATTGGCCAAATCTTGGGAGACAAGATAAAGTGGGCTCATTCTTCAATGTATACACAAACAATAACATGGCATTGTAGAACATTTTCTACCTAGAGCATCCCTGCTTGATGGGAGCTAATGCCGGCAGGTTCTCAACATTCATGTCACAGCAATTAAGTTTTCCAGAAGTTGTCAGGTATTCTGAATAAAGGACCACATATTTCTTTTCTGGCCTATCCTAGTTTGCCTAGCAGAACTTGGGATTTGGTGTGGGACGTTTATGAGTAGTAAGAATGGTAAGATAGACCTTTCAGTTGTGATTACAACCCACAATATTTTCTTGAAAAAGCTAAAAACTTCCCAATTTTGGAACAATTGTAATGCAGATGTTGACATCCCCTAGGTACAGCCAGTACTTTTCCCCAATGATGAGTACTGTAGTCCAAAAAGGGCTGAGACACAAAGTTAAAGACCGTGTAAATAGTTTATTATTATTTTTTTAGTACAGGTACTTTGTACAACAATATTTGTTTTAAAATGGGAATGGGCTGGAAAAATGGAAGTTATATTCTGAGTAGCAGAGAAGGGACACTGGTACGTACTTACACTAAACACATGATTTTTGGAACTGTTTGGTGGGAGGAATATGAGAGAACAATACATTCTAACTGGAAAGCAAGCACACACTGTTACAGGCAGGCTGCTTCTGGACATTCAGCAGCTTGCTAGCGTTCAGTGGTCTAGCTGTACAGGATAGGAGAAAGTCAGTATATGAAGATAAAATGTGGGCAGGGAAGAGCACTGTGCATGGGATAGCCCCAGTAAGATAGAGCATGTCATTGGCTTCACTAGCTCTTCCACTTTAAAACATGAGAACAAGAAACACAACAAAGATATGAATTTGCATTGCTAACTTCAATGCAATGTGGCCAATTTCATTTATAGCAGCAGGCAAGCTGATCCCATTCGAATTTTGTGCATTTCAGAAACTACCACACACATAGCAAGAGTATTTTTACATACACATGGCAGAACATGTCCTTCAAAACAATGGTTCCTCAGGATTCTCTAGGCCATAATATCGTAGCCAAAGAGAGAAGCTGTCTTTTTCCTCACCACGTCAATATCAAATCTGCTTAAGCAATTTGCATAATCAAAATGCATTTGGTGCCAGATTATTCCCAATCTAAAACATGATCTCTCGATTAAATAAAATTCTTAATCTGGGCTATCATCTTAGGTTATTATTATTCCTTCCTTTCTATCATTATGTTGCCTGAACATACAGTACATTTTAATAACCCAAAGCTCTTGCTTTATTGAAATCTGTTGCAAAGTCATTCTGATCAAGCTTAATTTTGGTACCGTTTAAAAATTCTCTCTTCACAATATAAAAGTGTGTTTGCATGTGAGGAGAAACACAGAGAGGAGGACAATGTATCCCAACAGAATAATAAACCATTTTGGGGGAAACAAATCCCACAGGGATTAGATGGTTTTCCTCATTATATTTTCTTAAGAAAATAATAAAAAAAATGAATGTAGTGAAAAAAAAATTCTTATATCTTTTAACAGTAGTGTTTAACAATTTGAGGTAAAGACTAACAAAACATTTTACAGGTATTCATAGTGAGATTTTGACCTGTTACATAAAATTAATTATCAACAATACAGAACAAGAGCATTCACACTCTTACTTTTGCCCATTAAAAAAAACAAAAGCATTATTTTTAACTGTGTGTGCTGGCAATTTCACAGATGCTAACCAGTACACGACTTAAATAACCAGAGTAGATTCACAGAATTTAGTCCAGGATAGGAAATGTACCTTTTCTTGGTAGAAAGCACCATGCCCTCAATTTGGCTCCACTACTCTTAAAATGATGTGGTTTCTATGATCAAAGGCTAAATAAACTAGGACCTTGGAAATACAGACCAGTTTCCCCTTTCTCTCATTTTAATTCCACCCAGTTCCCTAAAACACATTGTTCTTTTAGGTTGCATTGCAGCCCAGGATAAGAGTGGGGAAGAAATGTACTTCTTTAATGTAATTTACAATATGTCGTCCAAAGTTAGGAAAGTTACAAGCTAGGTAAGTTCAATGCATCCTGCTTAAACAGGATGGGGCAAATGGCACCCAAACAGGATGCATTCAAGCGAGTACAGGTAGTTCTCGACTTACAACAGTTCATTTAGTGACGGCTCAAACTTACAAGGGTACCGAAAAAAGTGACTTAGGACCATTTTTCACACTTACAACCATTGTAGCATCCCCGTGATCACATAATCAAAATTTGGATGCCTGGCCACTTGGTTCATATTTATGATGGTTGCAGTGTCCTGGGGTCATATGATCCCCTTTTGTGACCTTCCAACAATCAAAGTCAATGGGGAAGCCAGATTCACTGAACAACTGAGTTACTAACTAAACAACTGCAATGATTCACTTAACAATTGTGGCAAGAAAGGTCATAAAATGGGGCAAACCTGACTTAATAAATGTTCCACTTAACAACATAAATTTTTGGCTCAATTGTGGTTGTAAGTCGAGGAATGCTTGTAACTCAAATTCTAGAGTCAATCCTGGGGGGAGAACAGAAGTTATAATCCCAATCCCAGTCCTAACAAAGCACCACGTTGTATTCCTTCTGTGTAGAAGGAAATATAAAGAAAACCGCCACGAAAGTGCAAATTGAAGTATGCTGGTAGCTACCACAAGCACCATCTTCAGCCTCACCTGTCCAAAATAATCTGCTGGGGCAGTGTAACAGTCTGCTTTAAGATACTAGGTGTGTTAAACTACTTTATAGGTAGGTCCTCTTTCTCAGCTAATGAATGTGAGGCTTATCACAAGATTCCTCATGATATTGTGTTCAAATATTTGGGGGTAGGCCATGGAAGATATGGTAAGAGAAGAGATACCTGTGGAAACTCATGACAGAAACAAAACGGCACCTCAAAGTGGTGTTTCGCTTCTTCCCTTGCTGAAGTTCTGCTGAAAATTTATTTATTTTATATAAATATATATCTACCAGTATATATGGCTGCCCCGTTGGCCAAAGGACTGAGTGGGTTTGGCACCTTCACTGGAAAAAAATAATAAAGGCCCAAAAAATAGCCACAAAAGGAAATGCAAGGGAGAAAAAGCACACAAGAACCAATGCATTAAAAACTGGCTTCATCCTTTAAATTTTGTTTGTAATACTTCTTGTTAAGGGAAATAGAAAGTTTTAAAAGAAGCCAATGACTGACTCACAAATAGCTTGGCTTGGAAACTCACAACTATGTTCAAAATAGTTCCTACAAATACAATAGCCCTCCCTTCCTCCAATTAGGCAGATACTTTTGCTGGAAAATACAGATACGTTTGATTCTTGGTTACCAATATTGGCTGGGTACACTTTTCTTCTCATGGGCTTGCTATGTATTCTATGGATTGATGGTTTTTAATAGGCCTGTACTTTGAAAAAGAAAAAAATAAAATTCCTTGGAGATTTTACAATTCATAACCAGCAGAGGAATGTGGTGGGCCGAGGGTTGTGGATAGCTTGATATAAATGGATTCTTTATGAAGAACTAGACACATAGTTCACTTGGTAAATCAAGCTCACTCCTTTAAAATCGAGGCGGTTTTTCATGACTTAATGTAATTCACTACACTGTGGTTTATTCATGATATTTGGTGTCTCACCAAACTCAACCAAAAACAACACATTATTCAACTTGAACAGGTGAGTTTCCTGCACTTTGCTGTGATGAAATTAGATCTCCCATCTCTTGCTCCTAATACTTATTTTATTAATTTTCTACAGGTTTCATTGCAAGTTATTTGATATAATAATATTTATCACATGGTTTTATGTTTATTATCCAGAGCTCCCAAAGGATAGCATGCTATTTCCTGGTATAGTATAATCTACCTATGCAAAAGGAAGATTCAACTCCTATCCTCTGATGTTGCATGGTCTCTGAGAAATTAGTCCTAATAATCCTAATATATCCTGTGGTTCCTGGTATTTACCAGCATGGAAGAAAAAGAAAGTTATCATTTTCTTCAAGCTTTTATACAGTAAAAGCAGTAAATAGTGGAAAGTTGACGTTTGTGGCATCATTTAAACAACTGTATTATAAGGCTCCACAGCTGTGATCTAAACCCTGGAAAAAAGCTGCAGTACTGTGAATAATTTGTATAGAATAGGTCAGCAGTCTTTACTTTAATCAAGGTTGTGCCATAATGAAGTTTAAAGGACAAATCAGCCAAATTAATCAAGTCTAAATTTAACAATAACAATTTTGAAAATTTGTTATTTCAAGATTGAAAACAAAATTGGATATGGTTTGAACCATCTCCTTTTGTTTACTCCAGTGCAATTGCAAAACACTAAAGTCAATGGATTTACTTCATATTTAAAAAAATAATAACATCAGTTAAAGGTCTTCCTAACTTGTAATTTTGGAGGCAGTAAGCATTCAGATAGCACTACACAAAACAAATATCCACAACTGCTAGGTATTAAGCACAACTGGCAAACAGTTTCACAAGCCATCCAACATTGCAAACATGTGCCCCACTGCTAGCAGAGGGAAGGGGAGCTTCAGACCGATGCAAGCAGATCAAAACAACAATGAAAACTGAACTCATCCGGACCATGTATTATTCCAATTATCTTTATGTGAGACTGAACAATGAAAGGATAAATTACAAAATTTTAGTATTACAGCGTAGTGTGAATGTATCAGTGTGTGTGTAAATTGTACATATAAAATACGCAAGATTATGCCAAACTGGTGCCTTTCACTAGGCATACTATATAAATACTTATCTGTACATGTGTGTGTATGTGTGTTTATTTCTGTTCACTAGTTCAGGGCCAGCCACATGATAAGTGGGTAGGCAGTTGCAGGTTTGTTTCCCGTTTCACAAATGCTGGTTTGCCTTCATTGATTTGGAGCTTAAAAAGCCCTTGGAAAATGCCAGCAGCTTCTCCCTTACCAATCCCTTCCAAACCCATGCCAAGGAAGGGGTCATGGAGAATTCTTCCAAAAAGAGAGGCCTATGTGTCTGATACAGAACATGGTCGGTTATTAATAAAGTTGCAAGCTTTACAAGTTTAGGTAAACTTAAATGGCAGATTGGTTCACTACAGATGAGAAAGGAAAGAAAAACTGAGCCGAGGATGAAGAAAACACATCCGTAGCAAGAAATGGCCCCCTTCCCTGAGAGGCGGAATATTTCATTCCCCAATTCCACAAACCTGTTAGTCGATGGCCATCCACAACCAGAGATCTTGCTTAACAACATCGCCTAGCCTACCTTCCTGGCAGGGTCAAAGCCTCACATCTTCCACGTTCTGCACTTGCCCATCCTCTTTCATAGACCTTCTGTGAAACCCTTTCCATCTTCTAGTGTCAGGTGATCTTTATTTTCAGCTGCAACATCATCAGTGGCAGTAATACCTTTATTCAGATACCTTGCAATGCTAAGTATTTCAAAACCTGCACAACTTCTTAATTTAATTGGGAAGAAACAGTGCTGCATATCTTTCAAAGGCATTTTCTACATTGCCCTAACTTTTTTTTTGGGGGGGGGAGGTAGAGCCTGGAATCTTACTTGCAGTGATGTCTGGACGCTACACCAATACCCCAAAATCATGCTGTGGCACAGTAGCATTAATACTCTTAAACATGGACTCTGTTAAAGAAAGGGGACAAAATTAAACTACCGTCTTTAGTTCTATACTTCAAAAGTGAAGAAGTGGTCCCAACTGCAGCATTATTCGTAGCCTCAAAAAACATGCAGTGCTCCTAAGTAATACTTCACTGTTGTTTTTAAACTACTGATGCCCCACCCCGCCCCATTCCCTTTTGTGAAAAACAAACCTTTTTGCAGCAAACTGAGTATGAACTGAATTACAAATAGCATTGCAATGACTGTAGTATTTCCAACTGAAGAAGTACACATCACTTTACAGTTTTATTCAAAGCCTTCTTCATCAGAATCCCCGCATAAATTATGGGTTCTTTCTTTGCCAACTGTCATTAAGTGGGCGACCAGCAATCCTTTCGTTCTTAGAAGCTAATTCTGTTAAGAAAACATGCTCTTTTCTCTACCCTGCCTTGCCTTGCCCCCAACCTCCTCCACAAACACACACACACACACACACACCCTCCAAGAGAAGGCTTGTTTCTGCAAGGAATTGCTCCTTGGAGCAGAACTACATTTCATACAACCCAATGCTCCAATGCTTAATGGAACCAAGGAGCATTTGCATCATCAGAATCAGAATCATCAGTAAACGCACAAGGGTTAAACATAACTTTCCTGCTGGTTCTTCCTTGCTATTCCTACTCTAACAATGTTTGGAAGCAAACATAGCATTAGGAAACTCATATTTACTTGATATGTAATTCAAATTTGAGCCTTCAAGGGCCTTCATTTTTGTTATCTTGGCAGAATCAGCTATCTAGACATTCCACAGTATTCGACTCTTCCCACACAGTAACTTTGTTGAATTCTCAGCTGCCTGATAGTTTAGCAATTAATACTGATTTCATGAATCAAGTAGCAGCTTACTAACACATCTTCTCCCCCGCAAATATATATATAAGTGTGTGTGTATGCACACATGTGCACGTGCATTGATGGACTGTTTTTCTATCTGAGCCAATTAGGCACTGAGCCAGAATGCTGCAAAAAACAGAGTTTGAAAATATGATATAAAAGTGGAGTTAGTAAAGCATATCCCTTTACATAATTAAATAGAAAATATTGTATGATTACGTACAGAAGTAGTTTTGGCTCCTCCATATAAAAGCCCTCAAAATCATCGAACTTTTCAAAGAGCTGGATTAGTAATTGCACTCTAAAAATAAATAATAAACAGGAACAAAAATATTATCTCCCTCACTAGAACAAATCACCTCTTCAGAAGCTCATTTTTCTCCTTGTCCGAAAATTACAAACAAGTATGCAGGCACTCCATTTTCTCCTCTGGATGCAGAGTAGCATGCTAGGAGACAAATATAAATAAAGGGAAGACCAACCCCTTTCCCTTCTCCAAGCACAGCAAGGAGACAGAGATGGAACACAGCTAGGCTGCATTTTAGGGAATCAGTGGATTGATTGCTTCTGCTGCCCCTTCACAGTCCTCATCTGTGCAAATCTTTGTGTAGAGAAGGAAAAAAAATGTGTGGAAAGCAGGACGTGGATGAGGCCAATACCTGGATTTGGATTTTAACTCCCAGTGGCAAAGCTGAAAAAAAAGGCAGTGCTGATAACAATCCGTTCTGTTTGTGTGGGGCACTCCATGCCGCATCTGAGCCGGGACACTCCCTGGGCCGAAGACTCAGTTACATCTGATCCCTGACTTCTCAGTACAACATGGCCGGTGGATCAACTGACTGAGTTGGGATGGCAGCATCACTCCTCATTTGCCCAAGGCCTCTGCAAAGATGATCTCACCATTGGCCTCCGTAGCAGAGGTAGGGTCATCTGGATCGCTATCTGTGGTGCCATCGCTCTCCTTACCAGAGCTTTCAGCCCCATGCAGAAAGTGTGTGTTGTGAGGAGACAGTGGATACAAAACATCCTGCAGGGCACCCACTACCATAGGGCTGGTCAGCAATTCCTCATCTGAAGAATGCAGCGAGTCATCGTCCACTGCCAGATGACTCACAATATGTATACCATCAAAACCCATAGAGTCCTCAAAAGGCTTCTGTCCTTTCGATAGCCGAATCTGCAAGAGAGAGAAAGAGAAGACACTGTGGCAGCCACGATGGGTTGGCATTCAGCACTATGTAACCCACTTAAGGCCTGGAATAGCTTGGATTTAGAAAACAATAATCTACAATGGACAAAAGAAAAATTCCTGCTAGGAAATAACAGAAGTGATGCTCTGGCTTAAGACTTACTAGAAGTGTGATATTCTCTTTTTCCTTGGACTGGCAAGGCACTACAAGCATAAAAGGGTAACAGTAGCAACCTACTTCATTTCTCTCTAGGTTATTTTACAAACCTAAAGAGATACATTCTTAAATCAGAACAGATGTTGAAATGGCATGATATGGGGCCTTGGAACTTTGTGTCTTCTAACATGACATTTTCAGCCACAAGTGAAAGAAGGGGTTTATGGGGTTTCTTTTTCAATAGAAAACTGATCTGTGCCGCCACCAGCTGATTGTCGCACAGCTGATCGCCGAAACTACCGGTTCAGCATTTTTTTTTACTATGTGTGACAATCAGCTGTGCTGCGTGATTTATATTTGCTAGAAAGCAGGAAATCCTGCTTTCCCCTCTTGCTGTTCTACTTACCTTTGCAGACTCAGAAAAGGCTTCTTAATCCTTTTTTCAGCACTGCGCAGTAGAGCCTGTGTTGCTCATGCGCACGGAAAACGAACCAGTAGCAAAGCGAACAGGTAGCAGACTTCAGAGCATTTCACCCCTGATGATAAGGGGTCTGAAACTCCTCCATGGTTTTGTCTGCTTTCTCCCACTAGGTTGGGCTTACCTCTGCCTTGAGTTCATCAATCTGCTCTTTGAGTTCACGGATGTATTGCGAGGCATCAGAATTGTTGAGTTCACCTTGGATCATTCCTTCTTCTCTCTGCATGTGAAAAGAGAGGGATAAAAATGATAATTGCTTGGAGGAGAGGACACAAGTGCTTCAGACTTTAGCCCAGCCCATATATTATTTCACAACCTGCATAAATAACTAAACCATTGCTGAAGGGATTTTAGAGACCATCTAGTGCTGTTTTTCCTGCTTCCCAGTGCAGGATCCACTAGAGCAGCGGATATCAAACTGACGGCCCACAGGCCGGAAGAGTCACACATAGGCCACGGCCACCCCAGTTCCACAAAGGGAAAATACGTTGTGAAACATCACATGACAACAATGTGACGCCACAAGTTTGACAACCATGCACTAGGGCAATGTGGGAGATTACTTTCCAGCCAATGAGTTTGAAGAACTCTAGCAAAAAAAAACCAACCATTGTGTGATAACTCTTCAGGTATCTGATACCTCTAAACTTATTATTATTATTAGATCTTTCAATAGTTACACAGAGAGGTTAGTTCAGGGGGTCATTCCCTAGCTTAGTGCAAGGCCATCTGCTTTTTCTTTTCAGATGGAAATCACTGTTGGCCCTTGTTTCACTTGTGGCTGAAAAGGACACCCGCTGGTTACTCTTCCCGAACCTGGATTTCCAGTTCAGCAACCCTCTGCCGCATCTCTGCAACAGCAGCCATGCTATCAGCTTCTCTCAGGCGGACAGCCATAACTTCTTCTTTGCTCTGTAACAGAGAATACAAACCAATGGCAGAAGACCATCAGATTGAAACCTGCATGACACGCAGAACAAAAAAAAAAAAAAAAAAGGCTGACTTCCTAGAATTTCTTGTGGCAGCTATAGATGCCATTTAAACCCACGCTGAGTCACTAAATTATCTGAAAGTCAGGAGTTGGGTCATTTTGACAGTAAGAAGGTTTCCACACCGTGGTACACTGGTGCCGGGTAATTCCAACATCCCAAAGCTAAAAACAAGCTTAGTTTTACAATTTTGAAGCTCCGTACCTTTGAGAAGGAACCGAGCAAGCTTGACTCATTTTCTGTGGGAAAGTCACGTCCCTTGGTACCATTGAATGGGCAAACTCACCTTGCATTCAGATTCAGCATGCTTGCGCTTGGTCTCACTCAACTGTGTATGCAACCCTTTGTTTTGGGCGGTGAGATACTGCACCTTTTCGTGCAGCCCAGAACACTCCTGTTCCATCCGATTGAGGAGATTGCTGTGAATCTGATCCTAGAAAAGGAGAATTAGGGGCCGTTAATACTCTGACACTTATTGAGCCAGTTTGGGGTAATGGTTAAAGTGCTGGCTTAGAAACTAGGAAAGTGTGAGTTTTAGTTCCACCTTAGCCATGAAAGCTGGCTGGGCCAGTTACTCTCTCTCAGCCCAATCCCCCGAGGGTTACTGGTCTTGAGAAAATAGAAGGAGAAGGGAATATTTTTTTATGTTTGCTGCCTTGAGTTACTTATAAAGCAATAAAGGTGTGATCAAGCTCAAATAAATAACTACATTATTGAATCTGTTGCCCGATATGCGTGCACACTTATATAGACACACATAGGTAATTCCTTATGCGTGAAAAACTTTGCACTTTCACATTCAATATAAAACTGGAAGGATTGCTATAACTATGATATAGTTAGGAAAGAAAGAAATTACAGATAGAACGATCTTATAAAGATCTTAGAAATGCCCTTACACAACTGTCACACGCTCACCTGGGTTTCAAGTTCTACCACTCTTTGACGCAACTCCCGGACCTCGCCCTGAGCCTGTGTCTCACGCAGACGGAGACTCATCAGTTCATCTTGGAGATCATTTATTGTGTTCTTTCGTGGAGAGTCCTTCCACCGCCCGCCGGTCCGGCTCAGATGGGCCTAAAGTAAAGGGGAGTCAAACAATTATCTGCAAATCTAGGCACAGGTATATGGGATCCAGGGGTTCCAAGGCACCAGTTTCCTCAACACATGCTTAATATCTGTTGATCCACCATGTACAGTGACAAGCCATTTACTTCCAAGATCTCAGAGAGACTTTTTCAATTCTACATGAAGAAATTAGTGACAATCTAGATAAAAGATTATGTGCTATATCAGGTTCTCTCGCCTGTAATGATAAACACATTGCTGCTTTATCAAACATTTAGGATCTTGTTCCTTAAAGTGATTTATGCATCAAATCAGATTTTATTAAGCTCCTGGAGCTCCCAAATCTAGGCTACAAAATCCTGATGACCAGTAGATGGTAGCAAGGAGATACAAGAATTTCTAGTCACTTATTGCCATCCAGTGGTTATCTAAACATTTGCAACCCCAAAAGTACTTCTTATTAACTGCTAAAGATCCAAGGACTTGCAGGATCAGTCCTTGTAGCCTTCTATACAAAGATTTAGATTAAATTTAGATTTAGGCCTAACAAGTGAGGTGTGGTCAGGTGTAGCATCCTTCAACTATAGCACACCTGCCAATTGTCATTGAGTTCCTTCACTTGATATTGCAGCTCTCTGAAGGATTTCATTGCCTCGGACTCCCGCAACTTCATAGCCTTCAGTTCTTCCTGCAGACGGGCCACATTGTTTTCATCTGGAAGCAAGCTGTTTTTCTGCAAAGGAGATGATTTAGTATTAACACTATATACATTTATATTTAGGTATGCCACAGCACAGACAGAAGAAGCACCTTTGGCCTGTTAGGTTTCCCTATGCAGCTCTTGGCACCTCAAGAAAATCTGCCCCTCCTTCCCTCATATTTACTCCCAGCAGTGTTGCTGCTTTCACCCCAAGATGCTACTATCCAGTAGCATTGAATGGTTGAAAATGTTTCTAGGCATTCTACCAAAGGACAAAGAATAAAAGGGGATACTCTTAATATAGGGGTGTCAAACTCGCATTGTCATGTGACATATCGGGACTTTCCCCCCCTTGGCTAAACCAGGCGTGGCCAGTGCGTGACGCCATGTGTTTGACAGCCCTGTCCTAATAGAACAGTGAGGAAGGAAAAAGCAGTGCTGGAACTTTCACTTGTTGGAACGAATAAATCTGAGATTTTGTTGCAACCTTCATCAAAATTCATGATGCAGAGAAGACTCTATCAAAGCATCTATTCTTAAAACTTCAAATACTGCTTTCTGGGATCCTGCCGTGGTTACTTTCTAAGACTTTTGTGCTTCTGTATCAGTCTTTGAAAGAAAAGATACCTTTTCCATGTCCAGAACTTTATCCTGCATCTCTTTAAGGGCACTCAGAGTCTCAGATTCCCTCAAGCGGGATTGCTCCAGTTCTGTTTCCAGGTGGCTCACAAATTCCTCAGAGTAGCGGGGATTTGCCTACAGAGTAAAAGAAATGTTAGTAAATCAACGGAAACCATGAATGAATGCGTGCTGTCTCTTAACGTTCCTATGGTTTTAATTGTAATCAATTAACTCTAATTTCTACAACTAGAAGCCAGAAACACATAAGTTGGAAGGTAGGTAACATAAATATTCTGAATGGGTTATTTTAAAGGGTTGCCAATGAGGAGAGCAAAGGAAAGAGATGCTTAAGGCTTTTTCTGAAAGCTTCTAAACAAACTATATCCCTGCCTTTATCTTTTTGAAAGAAAAAAGCAGTGCAGGAGGGATGACTTTGACTGCAAACTAAATTATAGTCCATAGAAAAAGAGGATAAAATTACTCTGCTCTATAAAAGCCATGGCCTCCTTGTGAATTACAGTTCAGTTGTTCCCTTTTTCCATTTCAGGAGACTTATGCATAGAACTCTCAAATTTGGCCTTCAATCATAGGTTATCATTCTTAGGAATAGCCAGGCATAATTCTTTTTCTAGAAGCGACTTCCTCAATTTGGTGCTCTCGGGATGTTCCATACAATAAGTCACATTAGCAGTCAAGATCACTAATGGGCATAAAAGCTGGGGTTAGGAGTTTATTTTCAACACGTTCAGATGCACCAGGTTAAGGAAAAGGCTAAAGGAGGGTAGATATTCAAGCAAGACTAGGAGTAGATACAATCTTCCCTAAATCTAATACTGAGAAAAGAGCAAAAGAAAGCCCTGCACTGGCATGATTGATCTCAAGAGGAAAAAAAACTGTCAGAATCATCCCAATAACATATATAGCTTTGTAAAGCCTGTTCTAACAAATTGCCATGGGAATGATAATCTCTAGACTTGTCCGTTCCAGGCGTCCCCCACAAAACAAGTCACATGAGTTTTAAAACCTTGTGGTTTAACCAACTGGGCACTTGCATGTAATTTCACCTCTATGTATCCCCCTTCGTCATACATCATACATCCCCTTTCACTCTTGTATCTTCCACTCTTATATAGTTACTTGTTGGTCCTGAAGTTGCTGAATGGTGCTTCGTGCCTTCTGCAAATTCTCTGTGGCAGAGCAGTATTGTTGCTTCACAACTGCCAGCTCCCGCTTGATAATGTAATTCTCTTCAGCCTCCTGTGCACGGGTAACTTGGCCCTAAAGAAGGGAAGACTCAAAGCTGTTTTTTTCTTTCAAGAAAGTGACATCCATATGGGATTTCTTTATGAACAGCAAAACAAAGGAAGCATATGTTTGATAATAGTAAGATAAATACAATTAGATTTAAAATAAAACTTTCGCTTACTAATGTTCGGTATTCTGAACATTAGCTCTAGTATATTGCAAGAAGTATAATGCAATATTGCTCTAGTATAATGCAAGAAGACATTTCCACTGCTCATACATCTTGAAATAGTTTTACATCTTGACGTTTGACTCAAAGACTTTTTGGAATGAGCAATGAGTTATGTTCAAAATCAGAACCATATCATAAAGCAGGTAAGAGTGATTATTGCTGATATGTGCTCAAAGGGTTTCAAATTCAAAATATCTGAATTCAAAACACCCTGCTTGGGCTTGAAGAAATTTTTTCCCAAAGCTGTTCTGAGCAATCTGAAAGCGGCCCAAGCTCAACATGATCAATACTATTCATTTGAAAGTATCCTAAGCCTTCACTGTTAAGGCAAAACAATGCCTTAAAAAGGGAGACTAGCTTTTCAATCCGCTGAAGAAGCTTCACTGTGAAAAGTGAAGAGTGAGAAGATTATATAGAGGGCATTGGGACTGCTCTCCTGCCTGAGCCATTCTCTTCTATGATAACTGGAAGCCCGTATCATCTATCTTTGGCTTGATTTCTGCACCATCCCTAGCATCCCCAAATTTGCAAATTCCCAATAAGTACAACTCCCAGCCCACAAGCTCAAGAAGAATTTAGTATGCTACAGATTCTTGAAATTTAAGATTCTACCACAGGTTATTTTTCAGCCATAAAATCTGTTAGTTAAAATAAATCTCAAGATTCCCTTGATCAAGAGACAAAGTTTTAGAGATTAGAAAACTGGCACTGAGCCAAAGCATGCATTTGTAATTATTAGTTTATTCATGCATTAAAGTCAGTTGACATTTTTTCCTTGCTCTCACAAAACATTGAGTTTCCATTGGACCCTAGTGGTCAAGGAACCTAGCTTGAAAAACCTTGCTCTAGCTTTGGAGAAACAGAGTTTGTTTGCATGACAAGGATCAAAGAACAAAACAAGGACAAATAATCAAGATCTGAAGAGTCTCCCACATTAATTTGAAGTATTAAGTAACTTGTATCAGTTTAAATAGTAATTCACACTAGCATGCTTCAAATTCTTACAAATTCATGTAGATACTAGTGTTCTTCAAATAAAGTCATATATTTTCTAAAGGACAGGAAACCTGTTGCCCTTTTGTTGTTCCTGTTGCTCCAGCAAGCATGGCTAATTGTGAAAGATATCAGAGGCTACCATTCAGCACTTCTCTCTTTTAAGTTAAGTATGAAAATATTATTCAAGATATTCTTTTTTACAAAGAGCCTTGTAAATAGAACTTATTCTCAGACCTGTTGTCTGGATTACAAAAGTAATTTGCAAAAAGCCAAATAGATTCAGTAGTACAGCAGATAACCAATCATGTTTGGGTTGGTTATTGTAATAATAGGGGAGCCATCCCGTCAAGTTGCTGGCAGAATAATTCTGGGATTTATGACTGATCTGGAGGGCATTCAGACTGAGGAAAGCTGTGTTAAAGCAATACTCAGCTTTAAGACTAATAATCTGCTCCTAGTAACTCGATCTTCATGTGCAGATTTATTTCTGCAAGAACCCCTCCCCCCATGCAATAGATTTATAGAGATGTTAACACATCCTAGGCTTTATTTATAGTTGGAAGTGATGGTAACAAGCTCTCTAATCTCTGCCTTTCAAAGAAATGAAATCAAAGGGAAAAAGGTGCTATATTTTCTTCACAAATCACAAACATTTCAGAGTAACATGGCAAAATTGTTAAGGACTTTGCTAAGTGAAATGTCTAAAGAGATAGTTAAATTGTGCCACTTGAGGGATTGATGAATAAAAAGGAGGTTACTTTTGAAAAAAAAATACTGTAGTGAATGCATGAAAGATCTGGGTCTCCTAGAAGCATATCTTATTCCTTATTCAAATGTACTGGATATTAAATTTTCATATGTAGATCTTTAAATATATTACACTGTTATTTTTCCAATGCACTGAAAACAAAAATTTAGGCTTATAGCCATAATACTTGAGAATATTTCAGCCTAACTTAATTCACCCAAGGCACACAGTGACTTGGTAATATAACTTGTAATGATTGTAGTTCACTTCTACATCACATTTAAAGGAAAAGTTTAAAGTAGATCAATTTTAGTAAACAATGGTGATTTGCCAACAGTGCCGTCATTTCAACATTGGAAGGCATTCTGTACAAGCTTTACCAACTACTTTTCAAAACCTAAATACATGACCTGCCATTTCACATTCAGGAGAAACAACGGTGGATATCATGCATGGGTTTTGGTTTTCCCCTGAATATGGCTTGGTATATTTTTAATCATCAAAACATGACTGAAATAATACATTATTTGGATATTTTAAAAGTTTGTAGCCCTGTTTCCAATGCCATTTTTGAGATATACTAACAACACATATTCTTCATTTACAGCAGAAAGTGCAAAATTTCTTACATATTGATTGGTGATTAACTCTCTCTGCACTACTATCATCTGGGACAGGGGTCACCAACCTTTCTGACCTCAGGGATAATTAAATTCATAATTTTAAATCCCGCGGACCACTAATATGATCTGCCTAATGACTGGCTGGGTGGGCATGGCCAACTCAATGTCGCTCACATCAAGGGGCATGTCACCAGCCTCTCCTCCCCCCCTCCCCTCCCAGCCACTTCTTGCCTGCCCGCCCAGGCTCCTTAGGGCCCCAACAGGAAGCAGTTGCTGGAGCTAAGCAGCCACCATGAGAAAGAGTTGGCAAACAGCTGGCTCAGTTCAAATTGGATCTGACCAAGAAGGAGACTCAGCAGAAGCACCTTACTGAGGACTATGAACGGCTTTCCAAGCAGAGGGAAGACCTGCGGGAGTGCAATGCCAGGTACCAACCCCTGGAGGCTCAGCAGGCTGAGATGGTCAGCCAGTTCCAGGCCATGATGCAGTCCCATTGGAACGAGGCCCTCCAGCTCTTTGTCACTAGCAGCACTTTCCTCCAGCCTTTGCCCAAAGCCCCACACCAGAAGGCTGAAGCAGACCTCAAGTCAGAATTTCTTCCCCCCCTCCGACCCACACAAAAAGACCCCAAAGTGGGAGACTCTGCAGCAATGTTGCAGAGACTCTGTGCAGCAAATGTTAATTGCACTTATATGGTCCAGGGGGCATACTTTGATGACCCCTGATTTAGTGCAATATAAAAAATGCAAATAATTTTTCTGCGGACCACCCAAATTTTGTCGCGGACCACCAGTGGTCCACTTACCACCAGTTGGTGATACTGATCTGGGACATTAGCCTTAAAAGGCAACAGGCTTAATTCAGGCTTGGTTCTGGGCATATGGCCTAACTGCAACAAACTTCAATGAGAGGATGGCATTCTTTCATCACATTAAAACCAACAATTTACTGTGCATTAACTCACAGCAGTTGCCACGTGCAGTGATTCCTCCTCCTTTTTCAGAACTAGCCTTCAACCAAAAAGCTCCACTCCAGAATCAAACATTCCAGAAGATTTCCATTGCAAAACTAAAAAAAAAGTTTGTGTAGGCATTTGCATGAATTGTTAGCAAGACCTATTTTCACACCCCATTACCCTTCCATCATCTATATCATTTATTCAGAATCAAAGTGGCTTGGTTGTGGCTCCTCAAAATAACTGCCCAGCTAAGAATCAATTCTAGTATAAGTTAAGAAGATCCTCATTGATCTTTAGCTGAAGTAAAACCAGGAGTTTATCTTCCTTCAAGCTGATACCTCTTAATACCTTTAATTTTATAATAGAAGATTGAACAAGGCATCAAGAAATGAAAATAATTTTTGTTACTATAGACATTAAGCATAGAAACAATGCTAAAAAGAGAATTGGGAATTTAAAATGATTATTCCTCCAAAGAACACTCAGTGGAATGTTGTGGATGGAGGTCTCTTTTTGTTACAACTGTACCATTTCCCATCTGAGGAATGGAGGAATGGATTTTTCTGTGGAATAGGGTTAATTCATCACATTTGAAGTAACAAAGAGTTTTATTTAAAAAGGACATCTGCTCCACAGCTGGGTGGGAATATTCTGTACACTACCTAAAATTACTGAACTGCATCATGCTAGATTCATTTTTAATCAGTTTTGATCTCAAACTATACAGATTTAATAACAGATTCTTTAGATCTCTCTTAATCACTATTAACAGAGTTGGAAGGGACCTTGTAGGTCTTCTAGTCCCAACCCCTGCCCAAACAGAAGACCCTATACAATTTCTGACAAATGGCAGTTCAGTCTCTTCTTGAAAACCTCCAGTGATGAAGCTCCCACAACATCCGAAGGCAACTTTTGTTCCATTGATTGATTGTTCTCACTGTCAGAATTTTTTTTCTTATATCTAGGTTGAATATCTCCTTGCTCAGTTTCCATCCATTATTCCTTGTCTGGCTTTCAGGTGCTTTGGAAAATAGTTTGACCCCCTCCTCTCTGTGGAAGCCCTTCAAGTATTGGAACATTGCTATCATGTCTCCCCTGGTCCTTTTCTTCACTAGACTTGCCATGCTGAGTATTGCAACAGTTCACTGTATGTTTTAGCCTCCTGTCCCCTAATCCCCTTAAATAATTAAGTGGCATGTAAAATTTATCTTGATCAGGTTGAAGTATGGCAGTCTGCAATTGCCTGTGGTTCTATAACATCTTGTTACATATGCATCCACGTGCAACTGTTATTCTTTGTAGTCAGCAATGTGTGTCTGTATGTTTCTGCTAGGGTAGCAGAGGGAATAGCAATAGCAATAGCAGTTAGACTTATATACCGCTTCATAGGGCTTTCAGCCCTCTCTAAGCGGTTTACAGAGTCAGCATATCGCCCCCACAATCTGGGTCCTCATTTCACCCACCTCGGAAGGATGG